TGTGCGGTTTTTATTTTTTGCACTATAAACAAAAAAAGTCCGACAATTTTAAAAGAAAAATATTTTTGCTATTAAAACCTATCCAGTAAAACATTTTTTAAAAAATCAAATTTTGTCATAAATTTAGACCAAAATGTATTCTGCTCCTTGTGTTTGCTAAAAAAAATCCCAATACGTGTATATTAATTGGTTTACGTGAAAGTTATAGCGTCTACAATTGGCGGTATATATACTGGAATTTAAAAAAAAAAATGTTGTACTAGTAATGGCGGCGATAAGTGACTTATAGCGGGTCTGCGGCAGGCATTCTGACACTGGGGGGAACTAACTGCCACTGACATCCCCAGTGACACCAATATAGTGATCGGTGCTAATAAAAAGCACTGACACTGTACGAATGGCACTGGGCAGGAAGGGGTTAACATCTGGGGGCAATCAAAGGGATAACTGTGTGCTATTTTACTGTGTTAGCGTGCTGTTTTGTATTGCTCTGCTATGCAGAGCAATACAAGGCAGCATGCTGGTGCTGGCGGGAGAGATCTGTATTGTTTACATACAGGCTTCTCCCCATCTGTGATACTTGGCGATTGCCAGGTGTCAGTGGGCAATCTTCGGCTGGAACCTGGTGATCTACAGCTGTAGCCGCCAATGGCGGCACAGGTAGGATAGTAGCAGTAGTTCTGCTATAGGGTGGTTGGGAAGTGGTTAAAGAAGGATCCCAGGTATAGTATGTTTTTACATAGTTACATTAACTGCTTGACGCCCAGCCACTGTAGATATACGGCGGCAGGGCGGCACTCGCAGGCAAAACCACGTTTTAAAAACAAATAGGGGGCACGCGCGAGGCGCGCCGCCGCCCTATCTGTCCCGCCGATCACCGCCGCAGATGTGAGTCGCCGGGTCACAGCCAGTCCTTGGCAGCTGTTTCCCGGTGATCGGCGGCAAACAGTGACAGACAGCACAGCTGCAGTAGCTGTGCTGTCTGTCACTTCCCTGTCAGCTCGAGGATGAGCTGATCGAGAAAGAAGAGTTTCTCTTTCTCGATCAGCCTTGTCCCGCCCAGCACACCCCCCGCCCCCTAGTAAAACACTCCCCCTCACTCCTATAACCCTTCCCTGCAAAATAAAATTAACCCCTTCCTCCCCAGTGCCATTAGTACAGTGTCAGTGTTTTTTTTTTTTTTGCACTGATCACTGTATTAGTGTTTTTGGGGATGTCAGTGACCCCAAGTCAGTACCCCCCCAATGTCAGAATGTCCGCCGCAGTCCCGCCATAAGTCGCTGGCCGCTGCCATAAGTCGCTGATCGACACCATAATTCGCTGATCGTCGCCATTATTAGTATAAAAAAAACCCTAAAAATCCCAGTATCTTTCCCGCCATTTGTAAACGCTATAACTTTCACGTAAACCAATTAATTTACATGTATTGGTTTTTTTTCAGCAAAGACATGTCGCAGAATGCATTTTGTCAGAAATTTATGACTAAATTTGATTTTTGCATTTTTTTTTTTACTGGACATGTTTTATAGCAAAAGTCCAAAATATTTTTTTTTTTCCTCAAAATTGTCAGCCTTTTTTTTTATAGCGCAAAAAATAAAAACTGCACAGGCAATCAAATACCACCAAAAGAAAGCTCAATTTGTGGGGAAAAAAAGGATGTGAATTTCATTTATGTACCGTATTGCATGACCGCGCAATTGTCCGTTAAACTAGCGCAGCGCTGTATAGCAGAAAAATGGTGTAAATTGCAGTATCTATACCATAGTTTGTAGACGCTATAACTTCCACACAAAGCAATCAATATACACTCATTGGGATTTTTTTTACCAAAAACATGGAGCAGAATACATTTTGGCCTAAATTTTTAACCAACTTTGAGTTTACTGTATATTTTTTATAGCTGAAAGTAAAAAATATTGTTTTTCTTCAAAATTTTTGGCTTTTTTTGTTTATAGCGTGAAAAATAAAAAGCGCACAGGTGATCAAATAGCACCGAAAGAAAGCTCTATTTGTGTGAAAAAAAGGACGTAAATTTCGTTTGGGTGCAGCATTGCATGACCGCGCAATTATCAGTTGAATTAGTGCAGCGCCGAGTAGCAAAAAGAGGCGTGGTCATTAAGGGGGGTAAATCCTCTGGAGGTCAAGTGGTTAAACCAATCTGAGCTAATGTAATGATGTACCGTATAATATACAATGTCTGGAATTCTTCTGGGGTGAAAATTAATAGGGGTCATTGATTCATTCCTGCTTAGCTAGTAGGATCTGCTACGGTTTTTAAGGGTGACCCCAAAAACAAACTGGTGTGGGACCCACCAATTTCTACTAAACCATCAGTTCTTTTTTGGATTACAAAGGTAAACCCTATGGAAAATACAACAGAAAAAACATGGGGTCTCCAAACAGTCCACATCAGACCTTTACCTTGACTATGTAGCTTTGCTATCCCTGAAAGTGTAACATACAAGGCTACATGTTCTCAACATGAGGGGTGTACCTTCCCGGAGGGGGGAGCCCTCTGGCAAAGCACCTTGTCCCCAGGTAGATAAAGACTTGGGCCTGTTTCTCACAACCCTGGCCCGTTGGTTCTGAGGATCTGCAGGTGGGGAGCTTGTTGAAATCTGAAAGCCCCCTTCAAAAATGAAGGTAGTTCCTAGAAATCATCCCCCCTGATGAGTACCCAGAATGTTAAGTAAATAAACATGCAGACCCAGGTCCCATGTCGTAGGACTATTGTTAATCATGTTGTCTAGCGATACATATCCACATCAATCACAATGAATGAAAGATGGATATTCGGGGTCTCCTTTCTTTAACCACTTGCCTACCAGGCACTTATACCCCCTTCCTTACCAGGCCAATTTTCAGCTTTCAGCGCTGCCACACTTTGATTGACAATTGCGCGGTCATGCAACATTGTACCCATATGAAATTTTGATCATTTTTTTCTCACAAATAGAGCTTTCTTTTGGTGGTATTTAATCGCCACTGGGCGCTTTACTTTTTGCGCTATAAATTAAAAAAGTGCAAAAAATTTGAAAAAAAAAAAAAAGTTTCTTTGTTTCTATTATAAAATTTTTCAAACAGGTATTTTTTCTCCTTCACTGATGTGCGTTGATGAGGCAGCACTGATGGGCACTGATAGGCGGCACTGATAGGCAGCACTAAAGGGCACTGGTAGGCAGTACTAATGAGGTGGCACGGATAGGCGGCACTAATATGCAGCACTGATAGGCGGCACTGATAGGTGACACTGATGATGGGTACTGATAGATGGCACTGACTGGCATCACTGCTGGGCACTGACTGGCACAACCGCTGGGCACTGACTGGTGGCACTGACTGGCAGCACTGCTGGGCTGCACTGGTGAGTGGCATTGGTGGGTGGGCACAGGTGGGTGGCACTGGTGGGCACAGGTGGGTGGCAATGGTGGGCACAGGTGGGTGGCACTGCTGGGCACAGGTAGGTGGCACTTCTGGGCACAGGTGTGTGACACTGCAGAGTGGCACAGGTGGGTGCACTGCTGGGCACAGGTGGGCGGAGCTAGTGGGCGCACTGCTGGGCACAGGTGGGCGGAACTTGTGGGTGGCACTGCTGGGCACCGATCATCAGGGCACTGATCATCAGTGGCCCTGATGATCGGTGCCGATCCTCGCTCTGACAACTGCCAGTTCTCGGCAGTACTTTCCTCACGATCTGACAGCGTGAGGAAAGTGCAGCCGAGAACCGGCACTTGCATTTCCCTGTGATCAGCGTGTCATTGGACACCGCTGATCATGTGGTAAAAGGCCGGTATGATCGGCCTTTTACCACATCTCGTGATCAGCTGTGTCCGTAGGACACAGCGATCACGGAGATCGCCGGGTGCACGCCCCCTGGGGCGCGCAGGAGAGCGCGTTCTGGGGGGACGTCATATGACGTCCACCCAGAACTGGCCGGCCGCAGTGAAGCCATCATTCGGCTATCTGCGGTCGGCAACTAGTTAAAGTCAGCTTCCAGATTCCTTTCCTTCCAGATCCTTTGTCCTCATCAACATAGAAACAAGGTGCTTTCCAAGGGAACCCCCATATTATAGAAAAAGACAGGATATTTATATATTTTATCCACACATCTTTTCACTAGGAAACACTTCTCAAAACACTTTCTAGAAGCCTAGACCTATGGTCACTTGGCCAGTGCCTAGGCTTGTGGTTATGTAAAGAGCATGCATCTCCCAGTCCCCATTGGTTCTTGCTCTCAAGGATGTGTAAATGTAGAAGTGATCTAGAAGAAGGACCAAAGGTCCTTTGATTGCAGGGGAAAGGGTCCCATTTGGTTGTAACATCCACAGAGAACATCTGCTCAATCAAGTTTACCTGGTCCATATGGGATCTTGATTTAAGTGAATGAACCCTCACATATCGAATGATCATGTTTTTATATTTTCCAGGACATGTTATTGAGAAACCCTCAAAGAATCGCCTCACTTTATCTCCAGATTGTAAAATGGAAGATGAGGACATCACAAGAGATTGTGCCGGAGAAAAGATAATGAGTTCAGCTATGGATAGTGGACCTCACAGTGTGGATAAATCATCAAATCCCTCTGACTGTGAGCAACCTCGTACTGTGAGGGATGGTGCCAGAATTCAGGGGAAGGAGAAATTGTCCTGCCCTGAACGTGGGGAAAGTTTTAGCTCTGAATTAAGTCTCACTGTACATCAGAGATCTCAAATTGGTGAAACGCTTCATTCCTGTTCTGAGTGTGGGAAATGTTTCTTTCTTGAATCAGAACTTATCAAACATTGCAGATCTCACAAGGGCAAGAAGCCAAACTCCTGTGCTGAGTGTGGGAAATGTTTTACAAGGAAATCAACTCTTGTTATACATCAGAGGTCTCACACGGGGGAGAAGCCTGTTTTCTGCACTGAATGTGGGAAATGTTTTAAACGGAAATCAGAACTTGTTAGACATCAGAGATCTCACACGGGGGAGAAGCTCTATTCCTGCCCTGAGTGCACAAAATGTTTTTCACAGAAATCAGACCTTCTTAGACACCAGAAATTACACACGGAGGAGAAGCCATATTCCTGCCTCGAATGTGGAAAATGTTTTTCACAGAAATCAGACCTTGTTAGACATCAGAGATCTCACACAGGGGAGAAGCCGTATTCCTGCCCTGAATGTGGAAAATGTTTTTCACAGAAAACAAGCCTTGTTATACATCAAAGATTGCATACAGGGGAGATGCCACATTTCTGCTCTGAATGTGGGAAATTGTTTACATGGAAATCAGAATTTGTTAGACATCAGAGATCTCACACGGGAGAGAAGCCGTATTCTTGTCCTGAGTGCAGAAAATGTTATTCACGGAAATCACACCTTGATATACACCAGAGATCTCACACAGGGGAGAAGCCATATTCTTGTCCTGAGTGTGGAAAATGTTATTCGCGGAAATCACACCTTGTTATACATCAGAGATTCCATACAGGTGAGAAGCCATATTCCTGCCTTGAGTGTGGGAAATGTTTTGCTCGGAAATCAGTCCTTAATATACATCAGAGATCTCACATGTGAAACTCCATTAAAGTCAATGAGAGCAGAATCTTCAAAATTAATTCAGGCCATTTTAAGGCTTAGAGGCAAGAGATTGTCAAAGGGCATGGGGATCTGTACACTGCCCTGGGGGATATCAAGGTTTATACTAGAAAATTGCAGCCCAGTCAGCCTAACATCAATAGTATGTAAAGTATTTGAGAAAATGGTCTCATAATAAAGGTATCATAAGTGACAAAAATTAAAGAGAATGTCCAGCGCTTCAGGAACAATTATAAAAGGGGAGTGTTATCCTGCAGATGACTTTCCAAGCCTCTTTCCAGATTTCCAATCCACTTTGAGTCCAATCCAAATGGGTCCAATACACTGTCAAAATCACCAACTGTGTGTCTTCTCCTTTATTTACCTTTTCTTCCCAAATATCTTCAATTCATCACATGTGAAACCCAAAAGAATCTCATATAGTGTAGTAAGGGCAGCACAGTGTCTAAATGGTTAGTCCTTCCGCCTGGTAGTACCAGGGTCATTGGTTTGAATCCCAAATACAGCACCACCTGCCTGGAGTGTGAATGTTCTCCCTGTGCCTTTGTGGGTTTCCTCCCACACTCCAAAGACATGCTGGTAGGTTAATTGGCTCCAGTCTAAACTGGTGCTAATATGTGTATGTATGAATGTGAGTTAGGGACCTTAGATTGTACGCCCCTTGAGGGTTAGGGACTGATGTGAATGTACAATATATATGTAAATTGATGGTGCTATATAAGTACCTGTAGTAAATAAAATAAAAATAAATATTGTATAAATATATGGAAACAAACTTATCTATATTGTGCCAACATCAGTGCTCTACTAGTGATAAAGTGCCCACACACCACTTGTGCAGCCTCTAACCAGAAATAAAGCTGCATATCATTCCATTCCAGGTAGGTCAACATCCCTTGGTGTTCCTCCTCTTGGTATAACAAAATGGGTCCTTTATTCACTTGCTGTCCGCCTGCTGTTTATAAACGGCAGGACGGTGGCACTCCAGGGGCGGGTTCATAAACGGCACCCGCCATTTCTAGCTGTGCGCACTCCCTGGGAGCACGCAGCACCGCGATCTGGTGCCCGCTGTGTCCTCTGGACACAGTGAAACACCGATCGTCGGACGGGATCCTGATCATGTGATCACTGATTTGCCAATCAGTGATCACATGCAAAGTAGTAAGCAAGATGTCACTTGTGACATCATTGCTTACTACGTGTGAAATCTGTGAATGATCACAGAAGTCACATGGTACAAGGCTATTCACAACAGCCTTGTACCATGTGACAAGCTGTGACCAATCACAGCTCACTCAGTATTTCTCAATAGCTGCAAGAATGCAGAGAGAAGGAGACATGATTGCTTTACATCCTATATGGGTATAAAAGCAATCGCTGTAAAAGAAAAAAAAAATCTTCGTCACCCCCCACAAGTAGTACAGTGTCACTCATTTAAAAAAAAAAGTGTTTAAAAATTATATTTGTGGTTATAAACTAATTTGGCTTATTTATTTTTTTTACTAAAAAGATAACGGAATACATGTTGGCCAAGATTTATGATGAAAGATTATTTATTTGCAAAATTTTATAAGAAAAACACTTTTTTTCAAAATTTTTGGACTTTTTCATTTACATAGCAAAACAAATCTAAATCCCAGCGGTGAATAAATACCACAAAAATAAAGTTTTATCTGTCTCAAAAAAAAATTGGTAAAAAATTCATATGGGTACAGTGTTGCATGACCGCGCAATTATCATTCAAAGTGTGATAGCACTGAAAGCTGAAAATTGCCCTGGACAGGGAGGGGGTGAAAGTGTCCGGACTGGAACTGGTTAAGGCACAAGATATGGTAATGTTAGCCTCTCTCCCAATCTTCTCAGTATTCAGCCTCCCCATAGATCAACAGGTAAAAGCCACAAAGAAACCTAAAAGAGCTCATAGTGCAGAAAATCCCATAATAACAACTTACAGACATCCAGCACTCAAAATGGCCACCTGGGTGCTTCCGGTTGTGGCATCTGACGTCACCCTCCGACGAGTTTTGTTCGTAGACTTTGACAAAGGTTATTCCTTTGACAAAGTCTATAGATGAAAACACATCAGAAAGTGACCCAGGTCGCCATTTTGAGTGTTTGATGACTGTATACCTTCTTTCATGTAAGCATATTGGTGGTGAATAAAATTTGTTTTTATGGGATTTTCTGCTCTACGAGTATTACCAGGAGCCACAATCCGTTGTGTCCTGTGGACATAGGTCACACTGCAGGGCATGCTTCTAAACCTGAGCAGGCTGAATGACGTACTTGTGCATGATCCAGCTTGCAGGTGCGGTACGTCCGCAGTAAATGTGTGGCGGGTGGTAAGTTGTTAACATAGATTTCAGTTATTCCCTCTGGAGAAGAGACGCTTAGGATAGGATATGATTACATTGTTCATATGTTTCAAAGGCGACAAAAACTAATAAACCGTTTACTCTAAAAGGCCACGATTTGAGATTAGAAGAAAGGAGGTTTCTCCCCACCAGAAAACCTTTGGTCCCCATAGAGTGATTGAGTCTAGACACAATAACTTGACCATAACCTGTTACATAGCTTAAATAAACAAAGGCAAAGTTAAGTTAGTAGTCACACAAAATCAAACGGTACATCTTCAAACCAGAGTTTGGTAGGGGAACCTCTAACCATTTATAAAAGGGAGAGGATGTAGCCCCTGTCGTAGGCATTGAAAGTCCTCCAGTTGTCTACTATTTAGTGGTTGCAGAGAAGTGTTTTCATTTCTGCATTTTCGAGAATGGTAAATGAGATGCACCCTTTGAGAGGTCAAACAGGGAGTCCAGTGCTAGATTACGCTCTCGCCCTTTTAAGGAGGATTCCTTCTTTTTTTTGGTCTACTTCCAGTCTGACTAGAGAGTGCCTTTTCCCCAAATAGGAGACTTTTTATAATAAGGAGACAACCTATCCTTTCTCTGATAACCTGTAACTCTTTCCATAGCACCTGTTTAACAAGGAGAATTGCAACTTCCTTGGACTTGGGGTCCCAGGAAGCACTATGATAAACTGTTGGGGATTTGGAGTCACTTGGTCTTGGGATCTTGTCCATTCTAAAATGTGTCTCTTGATGGAAAATTATATGTGTTTTGAACCTCTACAATTTGCTGAGGAATCTGGTACGTTTTTCAGAACTATTGAGTCCTTTTATTATTATACAGTATTTATATAGCGCCAAAAAGTTTGCTCAGCGCTGTACATTATAGTGGGAGATAGTACATGAGACAATACAGTAACAATACAATACAAGAGGGGTTCGAGGGCCCTGCTCCTTGGAGCTTACAATCTAGGGCATAGTGGTACAGGAGGAAGTGTCTGTGGGGGATGGAGTGGTAGGAGGAGTGGAGGAGGAGAGCGGCTGTTAGGTGAGGGCGGGGTAGGCTTCCCTGAAGAGATGGGTTTTCAGGGTGCGTCTAAGGTGTGGAGGGTAGATGACAGTCTGATGGATTGGGGTAGTGAGTTCCAGAGGATGGGGGAAGACCTGGAGAAGTCCTAGAGTCGGGCATGGGAGGAGAAGACCAGGGAACTGGAGAGTAGGAGATCTTGTGAGGAGCGAAGAGTACGGGTTGGGTGGTATTTGGATATCAGGTCGGTGAGGTAGTTTGAGGCAGTATTATGAATAGCTTTGTACGTCAATGTTAGTAGTTTGAATTTTATGTGTTGGGCAATTGGAAGCCAGAGGGGGGTGGCAGATACGGAGCGGTTGGTGAGGTGGATGAGTCTGGCCGCTGAGTTCAGGATAAACTGAAGCGGGGATAGTCTGTGATGAGGTAGGCCAGTGAGGAGGGAGTTGCAGTAGTCAAATCGTGAGATAATAAGGGAGTGAATGAGTTGTTTAGTATTGGCTGGGGTTAGGAACCTCGTATTTTGGAGATGTTGCAGAGGTGGAGCCTGCGTGAATTTGCCAGCGATTGGAGTCCTTTGACGTTATATGAGGTTAGTAAAACACATGGCGTGATAAATGAGCAGTATGAATGTGAAACAGAATGGAAGATGGGAAGAGCGTGTGGGAGAAAAAAGGGGGTAGAAAAAAAATAGAGAAGCTGAAAGGAAGAAATCAACAACTCTTCATACAACAGATAATTAAAAAGTCATAGAAAGAAGCCCACCTATAGAAGATGTGTTGGGAGCAAATCTATTTAAAAGAGTGGATGTATAAAAGAGACAGGACACAAAGTTTTCGGCTCTGTGAGCGTGAAGCAGGGATAGATGTAGAACGCTCCTAGTATACCTCATAGAGGGGGGAGAAACATCTCTAGCAGAAAAAGTGGTCAACCAAAGCAGTGTTCTGAGGTGTCAAAAAGAAAGGATGGATCCCTAGAAATGGAAATGCTCTGCAAACCTGGGAACCATTTAACTAACATTAGTATAGGGGAAGCGTAGAGAATTTGTTTCAGAATCCTGTTTGAGTGGGAAGGTTGAGGTCCCAAATCAGGTAACAAACGACTTTTCAATTGGGCCCCATGCCTTGCAGACACCTTAGTATGTGGGTGTAAAATCATATCACACATTTTTTTCCCCTGAGTTTACTACCACTTTAATCACCGATGTTCACAGTCAGAATCAGGGGCGGACTGACCATTTGGAAGCTCGGGCACTACCCGGGGTCAGTAGGGGGCCCCATGAGATGCCCCTGGTACCTTTTTCATAGGCTTTTTTGACTTTGGGCAAGGACACAGGGGCCCCATGATCCCCTATTGCCCGGGGGCCCATGAGTTGTCAGTCTGCCCATGGTCAGAATCATACTGGGAGCACAGCCTTGCCTGATGGGTATGGTAAGATGTATGAAGTCCACCCAGTACGTCCACAAGAGCAATGCTAGAATTAAGAAAGGTAGGCATTAGGACTCAGCAGAGTACATTCCTCCAAGTTTTGTAGTGTGAAGGGCTT